AAAGAGCGACTGTTCCTGGAGGTCACCGGCAGCGTCACGAGTTTCTACGTCGCCCTGGCTAAAATTAGACGCTTATCAGTGTTTCGGAGGGATGTGATTTTACAGGTTCCTGTTTATTAGAGCAGCCTTCACTTAGAGCCGTGTTTCCGGCTCCCTCCCCGGTGGGGACACTGCCCACGGCTGTCCCCTGCAGCTTTGCAGTGGCTGGGGCCGGGACAAGCAGCAGAGAGGCCTCTGTTTCTTCGACAAGGGGCTTTTGAACCAGTGGGCGAGATGCCTGTGGTGCCACAGCTGGCAGGGATGGGCGGTTTTGCCTGGGGAATGTCCATGCCGGTGGGAACTGCTGCCAATATATAACGGGGATGCCTTCCTCCCCTGCCTGCCAGTGCTGCTCTGGAACGGCTCCTGAGCTGTGGGAGATGCTGGGGGTCTTGCCCGCAGTCAGCCCCGGTGCTGGCATGGGGATGCACAGGAGCGCCAGGCTTCTGGGATTCTTCCAGGGCATCCCTGGGGGTACAGGGCCACCCTTATTGCATCCCTAGGGCTTGGTGCCAGCCAGGACAAGGGCACAGTGACCGGGGCAGTCTGAGAGCCCCACGGTGCTGCTGTCCTGGGGAGGGTGGCGACACTGGGACATGGCCCCTGGGGCTGGGGGTGGCTGCTGGGTTGACCAGTGGCAGTGGCTGCTGGGGCGGCATGAGGGGTGGTGTAGTGGGTGTTGAGAGGGGTGGTGGGGTGGGTGTTGACTGTGCTGCTGTCTGATGAGACCCTTGCCTGTCTGTCCTTCTGCAGGCAGGTGGCCGTGCTGTGACCAGCACCCTGACCCAGCGCCCTGCCGTGGGGGCGAGTGCGCCCCAAGCTCCCTTCCACCATGTTCAACCTGATGAAGAAGGACAAAGAGAAGGATGGGGGCCGAAAGGAGAAGAAGGAAAAGAAGGAGAAGAAGGAGCGGATGTCGGCGGCTGAGCTCAAGAGCCTGGAGGAGATGAGCATGCGCCGGGGCTTCTTCAACCTCAACCGTGCCTCCAAGCGGGACTCCAAGACCCGCTTGGAGATCTCCAACCCCATCCCCATCAAGGTCGCCAGCGGCTCCGATCTGCACCTCACGGACATTGACTCCGACAGCAACCGGGGCAGCGTCATCTTGGACTCGGGCCACCTGAGCACGGCCAGCTCCAGTGACGATCTCAAGGTGGACGATGCCAACTTCAAGGGCTCGGTGCTGCAGCGGGCGGCCAAGTTCGGCTCGTTGGCCAAGCAGAACTCCCAGATGATCGTCAAACGCTTCTCCTTTTCCCAGAAGAGCCGGGACGAGAGCACTTCGGAAACGTCCACCCCCTCTGAGCACTCGGCAGCCCCCTCCCCGCAGGTGGAGGTGCGCACGCTCGAGACCCAGCTCGCCAAGCAAGGGCTCCCCCTAGGACACCCCTGCACCCCTCCCGCCACCTCCCTGCGTGCCAGAGTGCCGGAGCTCGTCGGCAAGAGGTTCCCCGCCGAGCTGCGGCTGCCCGCCTTGGTACCCCCACAGCCCCCTACCCCACGGCAGCTGGAGCTGCAGAGACGCAACACCGGTGATTTCGGCTTCTCCCTACGCCGCACCACCATGCTGGACCGGGCACCCGACGGGCAGGTGTACCGGCGCGTTGTGCACTTTGCCGAACCTGGAGCCGGCACCAAAGACTTGGCGTTGGGGTTGGTGCCGGGTGACCGGTTGGTGGAGATCAACGGGCGAAACGTGGAGAACAAATCCCGAGATGAGATCGTGGAGATGATCCGACAGTCAGGGGAGACGGTGCAGCTGAAGGTGCAGCCCATCCTGGAGCTGAGCGAGCTGAGCCGCTGCTGGCTG